CGGCCAGCAGAGGCACGAGCGCGACCACCACGGCGGCCGTTCGTCATTTCTCGGGAAAAAAAGAGCAGTTTCCACACCACAGCTCCACAGCAGTTGCGCACGTGGAAAGAGCTGGGGGGCGGCACATGCCTCCCACAGCAGGCGGTTGGGCGTGTGCCTCGGACAGCTGTTGTTGCTCTACAAAATGGACCATTGAATTTGTTTCTGTGTTCATTGCTTTGCTTCGAAGGGAGTCGGCGGGATCCGTCCCGCGTCACGAAGGCGGTCTCCGCCGTTCTAGCGCGACCGCCCCGAGAGGAGAACGCGAAAGACTCCGAGAGCGCGAGACGCGAGCCCGCCGCAAGATGCGAAGAGCCCGAGAGGCCCTGAAAGTCTCACAAAGTCCCGGTCGCGGAAGGAGAAAAGAACGCCCGAACGGCCCGCGCCGCTAACGACCAGCCGACACAAATGTATAGATGATGTTCTTATATGCATGTGGATCGCTCTTTCTTGTTACATGATGGATGTGTAAAGTTTTATTGCATTTGTGCCGCCTCGTCGTAACCTCGAGTTCTTGTTTCCTCTGTGCGGTCATCGCAGCTACTATGTGGTTGTATGTACTCACCACAAGGATACCGTTGAGCTGCTAACGCTGCTGCTGTCGGTACGTACCGAAAGATACAAGTTTCCGTGCCTCCCGGATCGGAGAAACTACGGGGACTTGCTGCGTAGGCAAGGGAGGCAATAGGCGCTACACTGCTGTAGGTAGATCGAAACACGATCGATCCAGCAAAGGGGACAAGCCACACAAAATACAAGTGAAACACAACTCAAGGTGTACATGAAGTAGGTGTCATATCTCTACCTTGTTCATTTCTTTGGATCGTAAGATTATGGCTACAGTCTGCAGCCGCAGCAGCGGTTGGCCACCCCCCTCCCGTACATTGGAAACCAAAGTTTCCCATCTAATTCACACCCTCCCCCCTCAAACTAGACGTAGACTACAATCCCCCCCGAGCACACAATCAATCGATCCCATTGGACAACCTGCAAGTCAGGAGGAAGAAACTAGGCAGGCATGGTCAGATACGACGCTCACATACTTTTTTCTGGTTTAATGTCTTCACGGTGACATCCCCTCCCATACACTATCGGGGCGTCACCGCAGCAAGGAACTTCAGCGCGACATCTCCTGGACGCAAGAATACCTGCAGAGGGTCACTACGCTTATGGCACCCCTGCAAATACCTCGTTATGAAGATTTACGCGAAAAAAAAAGAGACAAACGCGAGAGGCAAAACAACCGTGGACGAAATCAAAGTATGACCGGCCGTTCGCCATCCCCACGCTGAAATGGTTGGCAGAGCGCGGAGGGGGCGGGAGGCCGGTGACGCCAGAAACGCCACGTCGAAGCCTTCTTTGTACACGCACACGCACTGGTGTTTGACTATCTCAAACGACACAACATGAAAAAAAAGAGTGCACTCGTTCTTCTCCTCGCGGAACAGCAGTTTGCGTCAGGACCATACGCCGCGCTGCACAACAAGTGCCAAACAACTACACACAACAATGGAGAACAACACCAAAGCATCATACAAGCCTCCATTCTAAACGAAACACAACAACAACGTACACACTCGCAGTCAGTGTAGAATTATTCCCCGCTCAAACGGGGGACCTACAGTACACCGCCCGACACCCCCCCACGCCACCAGCACCAGCTCAGCAACGAGATTGAATAGCGCTTGAGTTTGGCCAATGTCCGCGAGCACGGCGCTAGCGGTGGTGGGCGCGTCGGGATGTAGCCGCGACCCCAAGAGGTCTATCTCTGCGTGACAACCGGCTCCCTCGGAAACTCGTAACAAAACCGTCAGATCGGGCCTCTTTATTTTTACCCCCGCAGAATGGAAAAGCAAAGAAAAAACGAAAGAAGCGAAATTGCGACGAAGATGACCACCCGCTACACCATAAACTGGTACACGGCCCGCTCCGTTGCCGATCCTGCATTACACACGAGTCGTTCTCGCTGGGGGGCAGTGCGCCACCTTTTGTAGGCATCATACCGCACACGACCCTCGCTGGTACCAGCAACTCAAGAGCCTACGGCTGGTGCATCAAACGGTCGAGGAAAGCGCAACACAGACGCCTCCAAAGCAAGGCACCTCACATCGCTCGGAAACATACACGGCTAATGATCCTCCGAGACACTCGCCTCTTCCACCAATGGGCTCGAACGAACGAACCATTGGCTTCAAGTAACAACTTACCGGAGCGCATGCTGGAGCAACAACACGCAAGGGCCATTGCTACTCATCTCGCGAACAATCAATAGGGCACTCACTGCCCCGTCACCCACGACAAGCATCAGACGGACACACACTGCCCCCGTCACCCACGACAAGCATCAGACGGACACACACAAATCGACGAATCGGCGACAAACACGCTCACGATGACTTGAGGGGAAACGTATGTACCACACCGCACCAGAACAAAGCCTTGCCTGCCTCAACGTCATCAGGTGTACATACATGCCGCGGGCCAAATGTTCGATCCTCCCTCCCTCTAACTGATCAAAGAGCAAATCTGACAAACCACAAAAACACAAGAAAACGAGAAGAAAGAACCACATACAAGAAAAAATATGGAAAGTTTTCTCATAAATTAGCGATAACTAGGGGCCGTCGTCCAACCCTATCCACCATGCCGCTAGCGCAGACGCTTGACGAGTCCTGCTACCACAGCAGCAGACAGCCAAAGGCGTCGCCATAGAAAGTAGTTTTACCAGGGACATTGCCATCACGAGCGACCAATCCTTACACGGACGTATCGGTAATTGTCTCGTCCACGAACAAGCGCCGCCCGTTCAAAAGCGGGTTGGCGGCATGATCGAGACCTGCAACAACAATCCCCTTCCCGCCTGGCACCAACAGACCAGAGCTAACAAACACATCCATCCGCTTCTCCGGCCCCAAACCGCCACCAACACCGCCGCCAGCCAGTCATAACAAATCTCCGCCTTCTCAAGCCCAAAACCGCCGCCGCCGCCGCCGCCGCCGCCAGCCAATCACAAAACATATCCGCCCAAAACCGCCGCAGCCGTAAGCCAATCATCATCGCGCACGAACGCACGCCCCAAAAAACCAGCAGCCCACCTGCCTCTTCTTCGTCGCCATTCCCCCTTCATGCCCCGACCAGGTCGTCGTAAGACGGCGGCGGCGGCGGGTTCTTCTTGAGCTTGTACGCCACCGCTCCCAGAATCGCCAGGAGCGCCACGCCGCCCGCCACGCCCGCCGCGATCACCACGGTGTCGCTGCCCCCCCCGCCATCTCCGTCGCCGTCTTCTCCTCCCGCGACGACCGGCGCCACCGTTCCCGGCGCGTGTGTGCCCTCAACGGGCATGCGCGTCGCAGTACCATCGTCGTTGCCTCCATCGGTGCTGGTGGCGGTGGGGGTGGGCGCGGGGCTGGTTGCCGGCGTCAGTGTTGGAGTTGTCGCAGGCGCGCACGTGACCACGACATCTCCGTCGTAGGGCACGACGGTGTCGTCGGACCTGGCGATTGCCAAGCGTCGTGGCGCGTCAGGAAGGGAGTTGACAGGGGGGGCGGGGGGGGGGGAGGGGGGTAATTTTGCATGCCTTAGTTGCTACACCGTTGACCAAGCGTCCCCTCGAGAGGACAGAGCACTGGTCCCACAGGACCGCTTGCCGAGGGGGGGGAAGGGTGGGGGGGAGGTCTTGGTATGTTGCTGGTCTCGGTCGTTCAAGCATCGGTCTTAACAAAATCTCTTCGCGAGAAGGAGCGCTACAAGTCCTCGCTCCAAGGCCCATCGCCAAACATATTCTCTCGGAGATCAAGCCTTGAAAATCGGTCCGGGGTGTGTGGTATCTTATACATAAGCCTACGTATCCACGCGTGTATGCCGGCAACACCGCGCCGACCACATAAAACTACATAAAACTCACGTGTACCACAAGGTGCCCGCAGCGATGTCGACCGGGTGGCCAGCCTCGTCGTACGTAAAGTAGCTCACGGTGCCGCTCGACGAGGGCTCTATCCACCACTGCCGCCAGCTGCACGCATCGGCACCGGTGCTGGTGGTGGTGGTGGCGCACGTGGAGTCGACCCTGTTGGCCACGACAGCCCTCCCGTTGCTGCCAGCCACAACGCCGCCGCCGCCGGTCATTCGATGGAAGAAAAGTTACCCCGCCGGAACAAAGCAAGCAACAAGGAGAGCGCGGAACGCAAACGAAGGGCGGAGTCGTCGATAGGATATTCGGGCAGGAGCGCGCGGGCGGGGGGGGGGGGTGTACTCATAGTCGTGCATGCCGTAGTCGTTAGACCGTTGGCCTCGCATCCCTACAAAGCCGGGACGGAGCACGCCGGGTTCTCAACGGACCAGGCTCTCACACCAGCGCGCGGGCGGGGGGGGGGCGGGTGAATTGTCGAATCAAACCAGGCCAGAAACTGCGGATATGAGGCGGAGGGGGGGCTGTCGCCACTGACGTCTTTCCGTTGGTCAGCCTGACATAATAGCGCGGTCGTCTAACAGCAAAACACACACACACACACCTCGTCAGCTCCCCATTGACGACGTCGTAGCCCACATACTGCGTCACGCCATCCCCTAGTTCGCTGCCGTCATCGTAGTAGAACCCGTCGCTCTCCGCCCCCGAGGTCCCTGCGACCTCGATCGCCTCACAATCGGAGGCGGTAACCGATACCGGCGCCGGGGTCCCCGACCCAGCCGCCGTCGTGCCGTCGCCGCACACGATGGTGAGCTCTGCGGGGCTGCTCTGGCACCCGCCGGTGCCGCAGTTGTCAAGCCTGCGTGTATACGGGCGTTGTGTTCTTGAGTGACGTGGCAGCGTCGACATGTGGCGTATGGAACGCGCCTGGACAAGACAAGACGACAGTCTCAGCCAGCCGAGAAAAAAAAGCCTTACGTTTGTTCTGCGGCGGGTATGATTCCCCGATGCGAGGTGTGGCATCTCGTTTGTCCGTCTAATCCGAGTGTCAACGGTACGGGATACCAGCGAGTTCTGGTGTGTGGAGAGAGGGGCGTTACTCTGAGTTCTGGTATGGAACTAGGAAGGCCTCAGACCAAAGCACCAAGACACCGCCGTCATCCCGCCCCAAGTGCTGCTGATCTTCCGCAAGAGCTACCGTTGGTTTCGAGCGCAAGTTGGAAGTTGATGGATAGGCCAAAAAGGGTGCACAGCGATGGATGGTGTCTGAGCCCGTCCTTGTTGGTCGCGTTGACAGGCAGTGAGAAGCAAGCGAGAGAGGAGAGAGACAGAGACCGCATACACACAAGCGTGTTAACGTTCATGTTTCGCCGCGCGATAAGACCAAGATCAGGACATGAAGCGGCGGCGGCGACGGGCGCACCTTAGCCAAACCTCGTTGATAGTCGAGGGGTGAAGCGCTTCATCGTACACCACGTAGGTGGGCAGCGTCGAGTCGGCATCCGACGGCGTGATCTGCCACCTGTTCACGGTGCAGTCTGAAGCGCTGCTGTCCGCGCATTGTGCCGGGGCGTCCGAAGAAGCTAATGTCGCAGCACTGTTGAATGGTCGACGGTGGCGTGGCGTGTTTTTTCGCCGTGGGGAAGAGAGGGTTGGCGGTTTTCGCACCGATCGAGCAACGGTGGTTGTGCAACAGCCAGCAGGAACGGGAGGGGAGGGAAGGAGCATCAGCATTATGAGAGATCGGTCGATATCACGCCGCCGCAGTCTTGTCAAGACTCGACAACAGCGTCAACAACGACAACTCCTGAGGCGGATCATTTCTTGTGAAAATGCAAGCACAAGGTCAAGCCCAAGAGGTCTGTAAGGAGGGCTGACTTGGTGTCATCATAACCGTCCGTCCCGTCTCATGCTGCTGTACAAACACACGACTGACGGTGATTGCAGAACGCACGGACGGGATTCTGAAGCATACAGGGCGCCAACAACGGCACAACAAGCAGGCGCTCAACGAGAAAGCCTTAATTCCGCCGCCGGATGAGGCACCGCTGTACGGCGTGCGTACATGCGCCTCCTTGCTCAGCACAGACGACAAAGAAGAGAAAGCGATGGGTACAAGGTACCCGCGAATCAGGCCGCCGGATTTCGAGGGCATGAAACCTGGACGTCACTACAGGCAAGGCCGGCCCGCAAGACGCACGCGCACGTGATACGCGGGCAAAGGCCATGGCGACGACAACGACGACAGCGATAGCTCCTGCCACAGCAGTAGTGCTGGTTCACGCTCTCATTCTTCAAGCTCCATGAAATATTCAGCAGTACTTCTTGCGCGCTGTTGGTGTAGCTCTCGCTCCTACACCTCCATGCTGTACTACAGGAACACTTGTTTCGAGCCATAGGCACATAGGTACGCCATCAAAGACGCGACCTTTCGCTACTACCCTCAACCTGCAGCTTTAGCTCACATGACTCCCGTTGAGACGTACGTCACGCTGCCGTCGCCGTTCAGAGACGAGGCGTAATCCCCGTTCAGGTCGCCAGCATTGCTCACCTGCATCGACGGAACCAACAAGCGCGCATGAACGACGGCAGCCGGTTGACACCGTGACTCCCACTTAACACCCTCAGCATACCTACAGCAGCAGCCCCGGGTGGTGCCTTTAGAGCACAGCCTCAGAGCACACCCTAAGGCGATAACAGCCCTAGACGACGTGACGTCACACATCTATCGGACACCGGTTTTCGACCAGCCAGAAATCGACGGCAAAAGGTGAGGGTCCGAGCTTCTTCAGTTTGAAATAAAAAAAAGAAATGAAACTCAGTAGGCGACACCTTCGCTGCATGTATCCATTCCAACAATATCATGCGCGGCGAAGCGCTTGAGAGTTCAAGGAACTCACCGTTACGTTTCCGCATGCCGGTCCCCCTATTTGGACCCCGAAGGCAGGGCAGAGCAGAGGAGGTGTAAACGTTGCCGTGCAACGACGCAGCAAGGTTGGGAGCGGTTAACATTGGTAACGCCACGATGCGCGATGGAGGGTCGGGTAGGTTAGTCCCGCCCAAGGATGGGATGGGACAAAGGAACACGTTGACAGGGGGTGACGCGGACAGTAACGCATCACCCTCGATAAAAGAGGAAGACCAAAACCGACAGGCGAATCAGGGGTGGGGGGGGGGGGGGTGTACTCATAGTCGTGCATGCTGTAGTCGTTTGACCATTGACCTCGCATCCCTACAAAGCCGGGACGGGGCACGCCGGGTTCTCACCGGACCAGGCTCTCACATCACCAAGCGCGAAGCGCCGTGAGGTATTTGGCGAGTTGCATGAAGGGTGAGCTGCATCCTGCTAAGGGTGTTCGGCATCTTGTGCTTACTTCCTTGCGTACGGATGACAGCTACGTATGACTTAATTTATTTTCTGGTGCTTTCACTTCCAGAGACAGTTGTAAGCACTGTGTAACTGCCTCGAGGAAGCTTGACCATTTTAACACAACGTGGTGCGATCATCCCCCGTTGCGCGGAGTGAGGTTTCTCGACCCCGCACAACATGATCTACTCGACCACCATTATGGTTACCGCCAAAAAAAAACCAGAGGTAAAAAAAAAAGACGGTAACCTGGTTGCCGAGTTCACGAAGTGAATTGGCTTGTTTTACAACGTCGTTGCCAATCGACGAAAACCCAATCCCGATGGCAAACACCGAGTGGGGGGCTTGTTTTACAACGTCGTTGCCAAGCGACGAAAACCCAAACCCCGATGGCAAACACCGGGGGGTAGTCACACACATACAAACGGAGAAGACAGAGAGACAGATATGAATAAACACACACATGCAGACAATACAAGACAAGAAAGAGAGAGAGAGAGAGAGAGAGAGAGAGAGGGTGATGGGTATGAGAGAAAAGGGCGGCCTAAGAGGTACTGGTACAAAAAACAGGCAACAAGAACCGCGAACGATGAACGTGGGCATTGAGCAGAGAATAACACCATGCAGGTACGGTATTGGCACGAAAAAACAAAGACACACAAGCCCAGCCCTCCAACGCAACGGATTGCGCGCTATGATAGCCTTCTTGGGGCGGCAACACATCCCCCGTTGCGTGTTTCAGGCCTACCCCTCCTCTATCGGCGAAGGCATCAACAACTCTCTCGGCAATTTCAAACCAGCGGGGAAGAAACTTGTTTGCCTTGCCCCCCTCACCAACCGTGAGACTCGACCCTACCGCCCACGGCATTCACGTCGGTTC